AATTTTATTGGGTTACTCATATTTAGTTTTCAAAGGCAGTTGTACTCCTTTCTCTAAAGTTAGGTTTGCTTATCAGAACCGTAATGGGTGGGTATAAATAAAAAAATTGATACAAACAAATAAAAACTTTTAATAATGAAAGAATTATATTCGGAATTATATTATAGAAATTATATTCGGCAAAATTACGCGGGTTTCGGTGTATACTGTAAGTAAATATGCAATGATTCAAGCGACCAGCTAAAAGCAATGCTTTTTAGCTAGTCGGGTTGAATCAAAAGCATCAGGTTGGTGCTTTTGGATAGGCAGCGGCAATTTACAACTTCTATCCCTCCATCTGAGTTTTGGCCTACTCCTACTTCTACTTTCCACAGATTATGACATAAGGATTTTTCTAGGAGGGTTGTTCTGCTGTGATCTTGCCAGATGTCCTGCAGATCTTAGACTTCCTATTTTTATAAGAGATACTACGTCTTTACCACCAAACATATATTTATATCTGTGATATATCTCGTAGTTGTACATCCTTCTCAAAACACCATTTTCACAGATGCTACCGAATATTCTTCTCAGAATCCTTCGTTCAAATATAAGCAGGAGGTTTTTATCTGCTTTCGAGATGGTTCATATCTCCGATCCATATGTCAGCACTGATTGTATAAGGGTTTTGTATATGGTTATTTTTGTTTTTTGGCTTAAGTTTATGCTTCTCATATGTCTACTCCATCCAAAATAGCATTTGTTTGCTAGGATTATTCTTCGCTTGATTTCTTCCGTCATGACGTTCTTCTTGGTCATCAGGGAGCCTAAGTATGTGAATTTGTCCACCACTTCAAAGGTAGAGTTATCAACAGTAAATTGGAGGCCGATGTTTCTGGCTCTATTGTTGGGTGTTGATGCTATTATCTTAGTTTTCTCCTCATTTACTTGCAGGCCCATATTTACTGAGGCATTTGACAAGATGGTATACATTTCTTCTAGTTTGGGATGATTTATTAAAAATGTTTCCTCTGTTGTCTATTTGGGCATCCCTGACCGCCTTTTTCAAAGCTATGTTGAAAAGGAGACACGCCAGCGCATCTCCCTGTCGCAGCCCAACATGCGTTTTAAATGCCTGTGATTGCTCACCCTGTATTTCAACTTTGCAAACAACTTTACGCATTGTAGCCTTAACCAATCTTATCAGTTTATCGGGGATGTGAAATTCATTCATGGCTTTATACAATTTATTTCTTAGGACACTATCATAGGCCGATTTAAAATCTACGAAAAGATGGTATGTGTCGATATTGAATTCATTGGTTTTTTCCAGTATTTGCCTTAGCACAAAGATCTGGTCTGTTGTTGATCGACCAGGCCTAAAACCACTTTGATATTCGCCAAGAAGCTCCTCTGAATATGCACTCAGCGACTATATAAAATACTCGAAAATATTTTATATGCTGTGTTAAGGAGGGTTATTCCCCTATAGTTTCTACATTTCAATTGATCACCCTTTTTGTGTAGCGGGTGATAAACGATCCCAAACTCTTCCCAAACTCTTCTAACCACTCTTCCGGGATTTGTTCCTTATTCCAGGCTCTCAGTATGATTTTATATACATGGTTAGTCAGAGTAGCACCTTCACATTTAATAAGTTCCGCGGGTATACCATCACTTCCTGGAGATTTAATATTTTTTAGGTGTTTTATTGCATCCTGCGTTTCTTGAATTGATAGAGGCTCCGATGGTGTATTGTTGCTTGCTCCTGGGGGTGGTTGATTTGGATATTCTACTTCAATAGTAAATAGTTCTTCATAATGTTCCACCCACCATTTCAATACTTCTTCTTTTGTATTGAGTACTTCTTTTCTCTACTGAGATCTTCATATTTTTGTTCTTTTTTTCGGGTTATTCTTTGCTGCATCAGTTTATATGCATTGTTCTTTCTTCTTGTAATGTCCTCGCACTCAGCATTGAACCACTCATTGCGTGGTGGTGCTCTTTGCCGCCCAAGAATGTTATTGTTGTGTAAAACGTGCATTAAAAATTATGACACCAGAAGAAGTAGCACAAGGGCGGAGCTCTTGTGCTACCATACAGGATGATGGGCGGAGCATTCGTTACATCGCAAATGCTTTAGGAATTTCTAGTTTGATACAATACAAAGATTTTGGGAAAACAGGAAAATACACTAGGAGGCCAGGTCAAGGTAGACGAAGAACCACAAGTCAAGTTGAAGATTGCTTTCTTAGGTTAGAAGCGTTACACGATCGTAAATTATTAGCACCTATAATTGTTCAACGATTAAATGACGTCCATAGAAACACAGTTTCCGTTTATAGCATTCGAAGACGTTTAAATAGATATGGATTAAGATCCAGAATACCAGTTACGGGCCCTCTGTTAACAGCAGATCATCGGAGGCAACGTTTACACTTCGCTCGCAAACATCTAAATTGGGGCGTCGCCGTCGCCTATTGGAGTGCTCAAATTTTTACGGATGAATCAAGATTTAACAGATACTCATCAGATGGGCGGCCTAAGATATGGAGAAGAGCTGGTGAACGTTATCAGCAATGTTGTTTTACTCCGAGAGTTCAATTTGGTGTAGGTGGTATAATGGTAAACACAAAACAATGTAGAAGTTTGAATGGCGATATATTAACAACAAGAACAGACGTACTAAATCGATGGACGAAATATTTTCCGTCCATCAGTTTAAAAAAAACATGGTTACCACATACAGCGACGATAACAGCTGTTTTTGACTTACATTTTTAAAGTAATGATGATTAGATTGAAGTGATGTGAATTATACATATATATATATATATATATATATATATATATATGTATATATATATATATTATATATATATATATATATATATATATGTATATATATATATATATATATATATATATATATATTATATATATATATATATAAGGGTTAGACCCAAGATCTGTGGCCTAGAGAGCCCGGTCTTTGTTTTTTAATATGCTGTTTGTCCACAATTTTCCTTTTATAAAGTATTTATTGAATAATTGACAATAGCTCTGACGATGACATTTATTATGTCGAAAGTATACTCAGCTTAATTAATAAATTATTTTACACACTATCAATTTTATTGAAAACATACAAAACCTGCTTACCAGTTAGACTTAATATAGAGGAAAAAGTTAAAGACGCTGTAAACAAACTAGCCAGAAACAAATCACCCGCAATAGATAATCCCCCAGCGGAATTATATAAAGAAGGTGGCCACTATATCATAATAGCGCTACAGCAGCTTATAAATAAATATGGATACAGAAGTCCCTTCTCAGTAATTGGAATATTGAAATACTTTGCACCATACACAAAAAGGGAGATATCTTTGAATGCTCTAACTATTGAGGAATTACGCTTCTAAATGCAGCGTATAAAATATTCTCCAATACACTATGCCATCGTATGGTACCATATGCAGAGCGAATAATAGGACAATACCAGGCTGGTTTCAGAGGTGGTAAATCAACAATTCATCAGATTTCAACCCTGAGACAAAATCTAGACAAAACACTGGAATACGGTGTAGACACGCACCACATATTTATAGACTACAAGGCAGCCTACGACTTTGTAGATAGAAGATAATTGTTTAGAACAATGATAAACCTAGGAGTACCAAATCAGTTTGTAAGTCTAACCGAACTAACCCTCGAAAAAGTTAGAATGCAGAGTACGAATCCAGGGGGAACTCTTTGAACCTTTTAAAACAAATAACGGGCTATGTCAGGGAGACCCACTCTCCTCTATACTATTTAATCTAGCTCTGGAAAATTACTTAAGCGTCTACAAAAATGGGATTAATAATAAACACCAATAAAACGAAATACATGAAAATAGATATGCAACCACAAATACTCCGGCCACTTGTTATAGAAAACGACGTCATCGAAGCAGTTAACGAATTTGTATGTCTGGAAACGCTCGTCAATACTGAAAATGACACTCCGCAGAGATAAACCGCAGAATTTGCAAGGCTAATAGATGCTATTTTGGGCTTAATGTCCTTTTTAAATCTACAGTTATATCAAGAAATACAAAAGTAAAACTCTACAAAACGGTGTCTCGAGAAGACGATACAACTTCGAACTCTATAGAATATACCAGGAACCAGATATAGTAAAAAATACATTAGGATAGGACGTCTGAGGTGAGTAGGCCATGTAATGCGGATGGAGCAAACCGACCCAGCTAGAAAAACGCTCCTTGATAGACCTATTGGTCAAAGAAGAAGAGGAAGACCCAGAACAAGATTCCTAGATAACCTAGACCAAGATATGAGAAATATGGAAATACGTGCTTGGCAGAGGAAGTCGATGAATAGGGACGACTGGAAAAAAAATCTTGGGGAGGCTAGGACCTACACAGGGTTGTAAAGCCAAAATGATGATGAGGATGATGACAGACATTTCTTTAGAGGCTCATGCAGAGCTTGTTACTATTCAAGGGGACAATTTCAACCCTCAACGGTACATTCAGCAATGTTTGAAAGATCATGTAGTGCCATTTGTCTCATTTGTTGAAGAAAACTTTCATCTGTTGGAAGGTAATACTGGTCCATACATCGCAAGAGTTACACGCAAAGATGAAAAATAAAGTTTGTCGATAGTTTTTCTATTTATTGTGTGTCTAGGACTGTCTTTACGTGATTGTTGACTATGATTTACTACCTTTGTATGCATTGGGGATTTAAGATATAATCAACATGGTGCCAGTAATACTACAGTAATTATTTCTTTTAAATTATTTCTAAATCTCTTGCTTTAAATTAAATAATATATAAAATATTATTTGTATTTAACTACAATATTCTTACCGATACTGTTTTCTTCAATCCGGCCCTGCCTAACTCTAATTCTTCCTGCTGAATTTGAATCCATAAATTAAAATCGATAATGGTTTTTTGCAAGATTGGTCCAGTTTTGTATGCGCCTTATAAAAGATGCAATTATATTAATTGCACGTCCAGTTGCAGCCGAATAGTACTACCTCGTAATGCAATGACTGCCGGCAAACTTCTATTGGTGAGTGGAAAATAAAAGTGATACCTACTTCGTAGTAAAATCGGTTTTTGTGTTTTAATAGTGTTAAAAGTAATATTTGGTTTTTTTATATTATATAATTAAATTGTTTACTATTTTCATTGTCAATTGTCTTTGTGTTCTCTGTGCAACAGCTTCATTAACTCTTGTTTGTCTAACTTTCTGTTATATCGCTGCTTTAGAATACAACTAGTCCATGTACGAAATCACAACTTTTCAGGAGAGCAATTTGAAGTTTTTCAGAAGTTTAGTTTTCCATTATTTTGTTTTTCCAACATTAAGGTTTACTTTGTGCATACTTTTCAATTCATTTAGAAACATCTACATTACTATAAAACTAGTTTATTTTGTTTCATTGTTTTAATAAAAAATTAGGTAGACATGGACTAGTGCTGCATCAGAATTATTAGTGCAGAAGTAGTTTATCTGGATTTATTATAGTCCTACACTAACAACTTCTTCTTCTTCGCGTGCCATATCAGAACTATCCAACGTTGGCGATCACCATTGAACCATATGGAATAATTGTCCTGCATTTGGTATCTGAGTCCATTCACGAATGTTGTTTAACCAAGAAACTTGTTTTCTTCCTACATCGACTTCCCCTTACTATATGTCCCAGATAAGACATTTTTCGATATTTAGTCGTATTTAGCAGTTTTCTGTCTTTGTTGACGCTCCTTAGTACTTCTTCATTAGTTTTTCTTACTGTCCAAGGTATCTTCAGCATTCGTCTATGAACCCACATTTCCAATGCTTCAATTGTGTTCATAATCGATACTTTTAGCGTCCACACTTCTGCACTATACAAAAGTACAGACAAACATAGCACTTAACCATTCTTTGCCCTAGTTTTAAATTGAGATGGTTATTGCAAATGACTTTATTTTCAGTAGTAATATCCCTAGGACATTGATAACAGACGAGATAATTTCATGACAATCGAAAGCTCGTTCCTTGGTAACAGCACGAAGCCGAAGGCTGAGTGCTGTTACCAAGCAACGAGCTTGAGAAATTTGTCATGAAATTATGAGGCATTCATCAATGTCCGAGGGATATTCGGCGGATAATTTTTCGAAAAAAAAACATAACTCAACATAACGAAACATTTATTTAATAAAAGTACAGTTAATGAAAGTACAAGTATTAAAATTTAAGTTAACATTAGATTCGTTGCTGTTCTCTACTATAGAACAATATGTATATAAAAATATAAATATATTTGTGACTGTAGGTTGTATTTCTGGGAATTTTTTCTTTGATTAGCGCATTTATACTTTAAACATTCTCATTGCCGAAACGTGATATTTTGAAATTTATTTGGATGAAGTTGTCAAACTCGATCGTGTTGTCATATGGATTGAAAATTGCACTGAATGCAGTTATCAGTCTAATGTTGACATGATTGGGTGAAATTGTTCCACATGACACAAAATGACGAAATTTGAATGGTTGTTAGAACAGTCGAAAAATTATCATAAAAGTAGTTTTAGTCATTGTTATTCTACGTTTTATTTCTATGTCTCGATCTAGTTGGTCCGTCATCACAGTTCCCAAATATGTAATTTTGTGAATTTTCTCAACTTGGACTACATTCAATTGAAGCTTTGCATCGGGATGTGGGTCACGACTAAACACTAAAAATTTGATTTTGTTTGAGTTTATTTTAATGCCCATTTCCTCTCCTACCTCGTGAATACGATCAAGCAGAACTTGAAGACCTTTAATATTATCTGATAGAATTACTGTATCGTCTGCATATCTAATCACATTAAGTAGTTCCCGTTGATTTTTATTCCATATGGTTGTCTCTCAAGTGCCTTTTTAAATACCTTATCCGAGTGTACATTGAACAATGTTGGTGACAAAATGCAACCTTGTCTGACTCCTCGTATGGTGATTTCATCGGTGTAGTTATCTCCAATTTTTACGTTAGCAGTTTGATTCCAGTACAAATTTTTAATGACACGTATATCCTTGTCATCTATTCCGATATTTTTCAGTATCTGCAATAATTTTACATGCTGTACTTTATCGAATGCCTTTTCGAAGTCCACGAAACATGCAAATACATCTTTTCTTTGGTCACGGCGTTTTTGTAATGGGATGTTATGCGCAAAAAGTGCCTCCCTGGTTCCCATAGCATTTCTAAAAGCAAATTGGGTATCTTCAAGATCTTCTTCGCATTTGCGTCTAATTCTGTTGTGACACACTAACAACATTCTTTATTTTTACAAAAACACGCACTTGTTATTTAAGTAAAGCCGAATGAAGAAATGATTAAATAAATTACTGTTCATAAAAATACAAATATTTTATTAATATGTCACTGATTACAAAATAAATTATAAAAACTGATTTCTTAAATTAAGTTCCCTTATGACTTTAAATTCAAAAAGAAATCGTGGTACACGGTCGGAATTTCTCTAATTTCTTTGTACTAATAGGTAAACTTTCAACATTCAACATTTGCAGGTCATTACGTCTGTACCTCACAGCAAGAAGAACCAATGTCGAAATTGTTAGTTTTGAGTTATGGTACATTGAAAATTCTCCTCAAAATGCATAACCCGATTTCTATTTTCTTTCTATTTTTTCGATGAATGTGTTTATTTGTATTTAAAGTATATATAATGTAGTCTCCTTTTTTGTCATTTTTGTTTTTTTTGTAGGAAAAAATTCTGAAAAAAAGTTGACATTGATTGTTATAGCATTAAATACAATGACCCTTTAGATTACATTGGTTATATAAACTCATTAGACAGGGGATTAACAACAGTTCATTTTCAGTTTATTATGTCTTTATTTATATGTTATAAATAAATACAGCTATAAAGATTAATTCTGACAACACAAATTTTATTTTTAGTGTAATACCTGTTTTCTTAATGTGTTTATTTTAAAATGATTTTCTTTTTCATTCTATTTCACTATCAGAAATTGTTTCTTCAGTTTCTTCTTTGCTTGTTTGCTGATGTACGGGAAAAGTACACGTCAGTCTTCAATTCTTTTTACAGGCAAAGGTAATCGGCCAGAATACAGTTGGTTCAACTTTGAATCACAAATAGGTTGGGTGACACCTGTTTTACGAGTAGTTCGTACAGGATTTAAATCAAGAAGTTTAAACGCTTCATCCTCCTTAAAAGATGGCTTGTAGTATACTTTTCCAATATCACCCTTTCTGAATTGTAACCACTTAATACTTAACCAGGGAATCTTTTCTTTGTCATTATTTTCTTTCCTATGTATGAATTTTTTATTTTGTAATAATATTTTAAAACTAAGGAAATTTGTTTGCTCCAGTTTAGCAACATTGATAATATGTTTCTTCATCTTAATGCATCCTATCAAATTCCCCCAATCCCTTGGCAGATCTATTTTCAACGTTGTCTTCTTTTTTTTCCTTTTAAATTTGGGCATGAATTGTATCTGCCTCTAAATGGGTGTGACCAGGCTGCAATTCTTCTTCTTCTTTGTCAACCATTTTCCATCCACTCCTGAATGTAGGTCTCTCCTAATTGCTTCCATCTTTCTCTATCTTGCGCCAATCTAATCCACTGTTTGCCTGCCACTGCTCTTATGTCATCTACCCATCTTTTTTGAGGTCTTCCCATGCTTCTTGTTGTCGTCCTTGGTCTCCATTCTAGAATTCTCCGTGTCCACCTGTTGTCACTATATCGGGCTACGTGACCTGCCCAGCGCCATGGGTGTTCTACGTCTTATCTCGGTGTTTCTAATCTTGTCTCTTAGTGATATTCCAAGCATGATTCGTTCCATTGCTCTTTGCATTGTTTCTAATTTTTTAGCAGATTTTTTGGTGGGGGCTACTGTCTCCAGTTTGTAGGTAAATAAATCGAGCTTATGTGTTAGGCGGTTGGTTATGATTTTAGTTAGTAATTTATACAGATGTGATAGCAAGGACATTGGTCGGTAATTCTCGATGTTTGCTTTGTCTCCTTTCTTGATTGGTAAAATGACCTCGGAGTTGTACAATTCTTTAGGATCTTTCCTTCATCAATTACTTTATTAAATAAAACATTTAATACCTGTTCCATTTTTCTGCCACCAATTTTTAACATTTCACCTGTAATCTTATCCTCTTCCGGACATTTATTCGTTTTAAATTAATTTAGGACCATTCTTATTTAATAGTTGGTTATGTCTGGTATTTCTTCTGAGCCGGTGTTAATTTTGTCCGTTGAGTACGTCGTTGTTGTGGTTGTGTATTTACCGAGTATAATTTAGTGTAGAATTTTTCAATGGCTTCGCTTATTTCCTTTCTGTCTCTGACAGTGACGTTTTTCTCATTTTTTATTTCTATGATTTTTGTTGTGCCGCTTGAGTTTTTTGCTTTGAGTACTTTCATGTTGCAATTATCTTGTATTATATTTTTTATTAGATTGTTATTATAGTTTCTGTGATCGTTCCTGATTTCTTTCTTCACGTTTTTGTTTAAACTTTTAAAGCTGTCCGAAGTTCGATCTGTTCTGTTTCGTCTTCCTTGAAGTAGTTTAATTCTATTAGGTTGGAGTTTAGATGTTTTGGCTGTTTTCGTGTTTGAGCATATTTTCTTAACCGATGTTGTTACAGTTACTTTTATTTTATTCGCTAGTCCGTTTATATCCATTTGTTTCACTGTCTCTATTGATTTTAATCTTGTGCTTAGCTCTTTTTGGTATTTCGTTTGTTTTTGAAACAGGAAATCAGTGGTTGGGTATTGTTCTCGTTTAATAAGTTTGTTTCGTTCTACTGTCGTCTGTATTTTAATGTTTGCTCTAACCAATCTATGGTCACTCCCGGTATAGAATTTGTTTAGTACTGTCACGTCGGTGCATATGTTTTTGTTATTGGAGAGTATGTAGTCTATTTCGTTCTTAGTTTTCTTGTCTGGGCTGATCCATGTCCATTTACGTTGTTTAGATTTTTTAAAGAAAATGTTCAAATGACAAAATAAATTTTCGTTGTTTAAGTAGTTGTACAACCTCTCACCCCTTTCATTCCTGTTGTTTAGCCCAAAGCCACCGATATATTGTGTGTATTTTATAATAATAAAATAAACCTATAATAAAATTAGTTTCAATTTACTTCAACGTTAAAAATACTATTTAATTTTAAACACACAGAAAACATAGTGTGAAGCTTCACGCTAGTCTACAGTACCGCCTACTATACCAGTTTTTTTTAATATCTTAATTTTTCCTCTTTTACAACAGTGTATTTTGATTATTAGTAATAGATGCCTTTGCCATAATACAATATTTAACTGAAACGTGTCACAACAAAAAAATGGTTTCGGAACCTCTTTAAGTTGTTTACATTTTTTTTTGTTTTTAGATATCTGCATCTCTATTGAGTGTATTCAATGTTACTGCATTAGGCTCAATTTGCCAATGTAATGACCAATATGGTTCCATTTATACGTCAATACCACTAAAAACACAATATAAAAATTTACAGGACTATTCCGTCTCATTATCTGGAAATTCTGGTTTTGGTCTATCAGAGTATGCAACTCAACAAACTTCCGAAAAAGGATACGACACACTCCAACTCTACAAATCTGAAAACAATAAAGAAGATTCTTATAAAAAGCAGCTTAAATTAAGTCAGCCACAGTATAAAAAACTATTAGAAGTAAAAGAGAATAACAAGCAATCATACTCACAACCGATGTACTCGTTTCAACCAACATATATGAAATACAAGTTGGAAGATGTGTTTGGTAAATCAGAGAGTCTTCAGTATAAAAAATCTCAAGAAAAACCCCAAATACAATACGCCAAATATGATGAAGGTTCAGATTTTTTTAAAATTGGAAACAAAGAACTGGAGGATTTACTGAAGGACGACAAAAAGGTAAACCATTAAGATTCTTATATACAGTGCTAGTCAAAAGTCTTCCCCCCTCGTCCCTTTTGAACGAATATACTTCCTCCTCCTCAGTCGTAATCCCTTTTGGGATGTGATGACACCATCAGGCCTTTATAGCTTTTTCACGATTTCCCTCCATTCTTCCCTGTCCTGGGCTAGTTGTTCGGCTTCATGTAACCCTTGGTTAATCAATATTTTTGTTTGATCTACCCAATGGCTTAAATATCTTCCCCTAGGTCTCTTTCCTTTAACTCTACCCTCGGCTATCAGTTTATACATCTTACCTGTTCTTCTAGCAATGTGTCCAGAATACTGCAAACATCTCTGTTGTATATGTTTAAGCAATCTATCCTTTACTTTAAGTTGTTCTAATATCGATACGTTTGATCAATCCAGGATATTCTTAACATGCGACGGTATACCCACATTTCAAAAGCGTCTAGTTTATTTTTATTCGCTTTCTTTAATGTCCACGTTTCGGATGCATATGGGTGGCTATGGGAAAAATGAGTGCCCTTACCAGCCTTAGTTTTGTGTGTATTGTTATGCCAGAATTTTTCCAAATTCTAGCATAAACTTCCATCATTTGTTATTAGGGACCCCAGGTATATGAAAGTATTTACTACTTCAAAGCCCTTCTTTAATGCGTTAAAGATTATTCCGAGCTCTGTCTACTATCATAATCTTTGTGTTACTCCAATTTAGCTTTAGTCCATATGCTTTGCTTTTTTCCTTCAGACATCTTATTATGTCTTCCATTTCTTCTTGATTTGCCGCGATTTTTAAAGTGTCATCAGCATATTTCAAGTTACTGATTTTTTGACGCCCTACTGATATTCCACCCTTACATCCGTCTAGTACCTTTTGCATGTGTTCGCTGTAGATATTAAACAGAGTTAGCGAGATTATGCATCCCTGTCTGACACCTGCCTCTGTTCTGAAATGATCGGAATGGGTGTTGTTTAATTTTACTGTCCACCTATTATTTTCACAAGACTTCTAATTAGTTAAATTAAGTGGTGGGGTGTTCCCATTTCCGCTAGTATGGACCATAGCTGCTGCCATTTGACTTTATCGAAGGCCTTTGTGTAATCCACAAAGCACATAAGCATAGGAGTACTGAATTCACGAGTTTTTTCGATTAGCTGTCTGATATTAAGCATAAGTTCTCCTGTTCCTTTTCCTGGGACAAATCCCGCTTGTTCTTCTAATATCTGAGGCAATAGAAAAGCTTTTAGTCTTTCATGTATTACATTAAGTAGAACCTTGCTTGCATGGAATATTAGGGTTACCGTTCTGTAGTTGCTGCAATATAGCGGAGTTTCTTTTTTGAATATAAGGATGAAAGTGAATGTTGTCTAGTCGTTGGGCCACTCTCCGGTTTTCCAAATCTTTTTGCAGATCATATGCATAACATTTACTCCAACATCTCCAGTCTCTTTTAAAATTCTGTGGTGGTCTGGTCTGTTCCAGATTTTCTACTTTTTAAATTTTTGATTGCTTTTTCTACCTCCGACTTTAGAATGTTTGGTTCCGTTCCATTCCATCCAATATTGTTTGTGTAATTGGTTTAAACTCCCTGGATAGATATCGGACTTTGTTATATAGCTCAGGGGATTCATAACTGTTTGCATATCTCTTTAGTTCTTCGCATTCTTCATTTATATGTTTATTTTCATCATCCCTAAATGCTCTTTTAATTTTTCTATTTAACCTTGCTAATTTGTTTTTGTTGCTGTCGTTTTGTAAGAGATTTGATTCTCCTTCGCTTTTCGAGAAGTTGCAGCGTTCTATTTGTCATCCAGTGCTTTCTTTTGATGATCTTTTTTCGGTTCTGGTTCTTTCTACTGAGCTTTCTATGGCATTTTTGAAACCTTTCCACATTTACTCTGGGTTGTCTTGTATGTTTAACATACTAGTTTCCTTTAATGCATATGTTTTCGGATTTGAAATCTCCAGCCTGTTTTGATTTTGGTCCGATTTTGTTCTTTTTAGCTTCATCTTAAAGCAAGCCCATAACAATTTATGATCAGATCCACATTCAGGTCTTGGTCTAGTTTTTGGTCTAGATTTACGTTTGTAAAACATTTATTCCATCTGTTTCTAATCAATATGTAGTCGATTTGGTTCTTATATTCCCCATTTAGGCTGGTCTACGTGGATAAACGACGGGCATGATGTTTGAACATTATTCGATTGCAAAATCTATTAAACGTTTGCCTAGGCTGCTTCTAATACCTAAACCCAAAGTTAACTACATTTTGGATGTTATCATTAATGTTTGGATGTTATCGATTATACTTATAATAGTGAAATTTGGAAGGAGAAAATAAACGGACGTAGGCTTTTAAACTAGTCATAACAAGTGACGTAATAGTCAAAGATAACGTTACAGTGCCACTGTGACTGATAATTTTAAATGGGATCTTATGGCAAGTGATATCTGGTTTCAAAGGTATTAAAAATACATACTCTTTCATACTAATTGTTTTATAAAGACAGTACTAGATTTTTGTTTCAATACAGAGCGGCTTGAAGCCGCTGACGTAATTTCCTCTCCATCATCAAAGTACCATTAAAATAGCTTTTTGCAGCATACCACTCGAGAAGTGGGACTGTCTATTTATTTATATATTCGAGGCTTAAATTCATAAAAGCCATAGCAAAGCTGTTGGATATTATCAAATGTAAACACAAAAAACCAAGGCAATTAGTGAAATAACATGGATATCAATCATGAGATTTTCGGAGATTTATATATTGTCTAGATAAAAAGTTAAGAGCGTAGGCGCAAAAAGAGGGGCCAATGCTTTTTAACTGCATTCATTTTTTTTTCGCATCCTGAAAAAACTAACAAAATATTTTAAAAAATTTAAACGCAGAATGAAAGAATACATTATTACCGAGGGCCGAAAGTCCTGAAAACTTTTATAATGTTTATTTTAATAAGTTACAGGGGTAAACAAAAGAGAAAATTTAGTGTGATTTTTAATTTCAAATATCTAATTAAAAAAAAACGTTTTGTTTATTCTAAGGTACTTTCACCTCTATAACATTTAAAGTTTTTAACCGATTTTCACCAAATTTTTTTTAATTTCATGTAATAAAAGGTCTATTGCGGGACAAAATATGAAATATTTAGTTAAATAGTTTGAACAATATTTAATGACAGACATGTGGATCGTCGTAATATTAGCTGCGGTACGGTAAATAAAATAAATAGAATATTAATTTAATGAATATGGTGCAGTATCAAAACTAATTTTAAAAAATAAACCGTTACAAAGAAGAAGAGAAAATTATCAAATCATTTTAGATCATTTCAGAAATAACCCTAATGCCAGTTTAAGGAATGCCAGTTTTGTTTGAATGTGCCTCGAGAGAGTATTCGGCGATGTCTTAAGGTAAATAATATTAAACCTTTCAAACCAAAATTCTTACACACATTACAAGAAGGCGACGAAGCCAAAAATTTAGAATATTGTTTATGAGCCCAAGGGGAATATCTAAACAATATAAATTTTCTAAAAAATATGTTGTTTACCGACAAAGCCACTTTTACTACAAATGGAGTAGTATCATCACAGAATTGTCGCTATTGAACAGCAGATAATGCCCATTAGGTAATCAACTGTAAATGCCAGTATTCTCAAAAAATCAATGTCTGATGTGGTATACTGAACGAGCGAGTTATTAGTCCTTTCTTTTTTGAAGAAAATTTGAACTCAAAGAACTTTTTAGAATTATTAAACACCGACATGTGGGATGCTATTCATAAGCTCCCAATTAATGAACGATTAAATTTGTATATCCAGTTAGATGGGAGTTCTGTTCATTACGCCAGAACCGTGAAGCAATGGCTAAATGAAAATTTTCCGAACCGTTGGATAGGCTGGGGTAGCCCGTTGATAGATTGGCCACCCAGTTCTCACAATTTTAGACTTATTTCTCTGGGGAGTTATCAAACAAAAGTTTTCCAAACCCGTTTAAGAGACGTAAATGAACTTCGTGCAAGAATTCGACAGGCATGTGCAGAAATTACACCCCAACAACTAAGAAATGTTTTTAGAAATATTCTTAAACACCACGACAAATGTATCCATTTAGATGGTGGATTGGTAGAGACAACTAGGATTTAAACTAAAACTATGTTTCCATGTCTCTGTTAATACAGAGTGTTTTTTATAACGTTAATATAGAGTGTTTTTTTTTCTTAGTGAGTTTTAAAATTTTAAGTTGTCATAAGTTTGTTATTAATAAATGTATCTTAATGAAATTTTTGTCATAGCTATTTGAAGCCATTCTAAATCCAGTGGCGTAGAAATTTTTTTAATAAAAAAATCGCTAATTCAAATTCCTTATTTTCGACGAAGCAAAAGTATCGTAGAATGCCCTGAAAATTTAACTAAATATTTCATATTTTGTCCCGCAATAGACTTTTTAATATATGACTTAAAAAAATTTAGTTAAAATCGGTTAACAACTTAAAATTTTATAGAGGTGTTTCCAATCTAAATGGGTCACACTGTATATGAAAATATCATCGTGCAATATTGTGTAACTAATTGTTGATTACAATTTTAAACAAAATTCTTACTAATAAACCATATCCATTTCAGAATGATTATAAAGTAAAGGATGATGCAGGAGAATACAAGGCTGAAGTAGAAAAAAATAAATACTTAATAAGCAGTCCTATTTATTTCGATAAAAAAATTACCCCTAAAGACGATAACAAACCAGAGCAAGATAAATATATTCCAAGGAAAACTTATGGAAAAGAAAATGAAGATGAAGGCTATTCAGATAACGGTGAAGGTTATAAGGGTTAGTACACCTAAAGTGATCTTTTTTATACCTTGGTTTAATTATTATTTTTCGCCACTTTTCACTCTTGCACATTCTAGGTTTGAATCGTCAATAGTTGCAACGATTTGGTTGGTGTATATTATGGGAGATGAAATATAGTTAAAACATGGTATTATTTGTTGTATTTTTTTGTTCACCACTAGAAGGATAATCTGCAAAGAGACGGTGAAGGTAAACGTTTTCGACAGTACTGGGTTCCTAAACTAAAAGAAAAACTTGTTCAGAGTCACGTCGACCAGCTTGGCTCTGAATCGGACCTCCCTGCCGTCCGGGAAGACCGACGTGACCGGAAACAGCTAAACACCACCCCTCTCATGGGTGGAGTTTCATTGACCTACTGGCCAGTGGGAGGTTTGGTCAAGCCTAACTTCCTTTGGTGGTACAATAGCAGTAGGTCCTCTCTTGTCTTTTTTACAATTTCGTTCTCAATTTCACTGAGCCTGGGACGTCCTTTGTTTTTGATCTGGTCAGTTCTTGCTAACAGTACGCTACATAAGTGAGACGTAAACTGTAACAAAGGCAACTGGTTTTTCTTTTCAATTTCAAAGTAATCGCAACTACGACGATACAACAACCAGCTGTTAACAACAGCTAAATCCAGAAGGTGAAAAAATATTTTTGGATACCACTTTTTAGATCTTATGTCTGTTCGGTAACGATCAATTAGTGGGTCCATAAGATCGACAACTCCCATCAATTTATTATAAAATTGCACTGCATTTTAACAGCATAGATCAATTCTTGATTTTTGTTTCTTATCCCACCTCTTGACTAACGAAGTAGGCTCAGAACTAACAAATGAACCAGTTTATTATCGTACCACTTTAACACTGTTAGTCTTATGCCATCTACTGTAGCGTGCTTTTCTTCTACAGTAGCTCCGCCCTGTTTCTTTATATTCTTGTCATCAGAAAAATGGTAATTAGGCAATCTGTTTGGACGAACACTTCCCAAACATTGCAGTCCACTATTTTCCATTTCAATCTGCAACTGAATGCTATTGAACCAGTTGTCAAGATATACTTTATAGTATTTGTTTGGTTCGACTATTACTACATTATCGCTGGTGCCTACATTAGGTAAATGAAGAGGATGTCAAACAGTTCCTGTATAGAATTCCCAGTTATTATAAACAATATTATTGCTATCACACAAAACAAATGCCTTGTATCCCCATTTTTTGGGTTTGTTCTTCATATATTCTTTTAAAGAATGTGCCCTTTTGAATGGTATCATTTGTTCATCAATACACAATTTTTCACTCATTGGAATACACTGAAAATTTTGAACTAGACCGTTGATGAATGGTCTAATTTTGTATCATATACATAATGGTCTAATTGTATCTTATCATTATTGTTGACCATATTTTCGGTATTATTGAAATGAATTTTAGTTTTTATTTCTTCCCAGCGATTCCTAAATATAGTGTCAACTATTTGAGCAACACGTGTTTCCTTCTGCCAAAATAATCTTGTCCTTGGCAAGCCATATATTGACATCAGTAGAACAGATCCAATAAATTGGTTTAGTTCTGCTAGTGTCATATTCAATGGTTTATTTAAATTCTTTTGCAGTGCATACAAATTACTTTGTTCTACTATGTTTTCCAGCATATTGGTAGATATCATCTGTTTAAAATTATGTAGAGGAGATTCCGGTTCTAATATTTTGCATGTCGGTAAATTACCTTTCCATTCTGGAATTGGAAATACTGTTTGGGGACCACTCTTGCATTAAATGTTTGTTTTCGATCATTTTTGACCTTTTGAACACATTTTGTTTAGTGTGTTTTTCTGTTTTATCGGTATCATCCTCATCTTCATCTTGGTCTAAATCTAAATTGGTATCCTGGTCTAAATTTGCTTCGTACAAATCGTCTTCATTTTCCATTTCATTTGATCCTGGATCGATTGATATCTGAGTATCTATGGAAAATTCATTATCACTCTCTTCAAAGTCAGAGTCTTCGGATTCCTCGGATTTGTTGGAAACTTTTACAAATACAAATAAAGGATATTTACCGCTTTTCCCGTAGAACGTTTTTGTATCCATCCTAAAAAAATAATTTAAAATGGTATGGTTCAGTGTGGATTCAAAGCAACATACCTCTTTTTATCACAGTACTGAAACAACACAATAACATAAACAAATTTCAACGGCCCAACAACCCATCAAATCTTTACTGATGCTTCCAAATGTGATGAAGGACATGCTGTAGCCTACATCTACGAAAACGTCAAGTCTACCATACGAACTCCAACAAATTGTTGTATGTATACCGGAGAACTTACGGCAATTCACCAGGCTATAAAAAAATGTGGTTCTATCAATGAAAGCAAATTTTTTATCATCACCGATTTAATGAAACCTTACTTGGAATAAAACAGCTATATACAACTCACGCCATACTTTTCAAGATCAAAGAAGCCATACTTGGGATCATACTGCCAACAAATTAAAGAATGTCTAAGTCAAGTAGGAACCAAACTCATCTTACCAAATAATAGAAAAGACTAAGTCATTATCAACCGACTCCGAATAGGACATACTTCCCTTACCCACAAGCATATCTTCAACCAGGAGGCTGCTTCGATGTGTACCAAGTGCAACACTCAGTTGTCAGTGAAACATATAATTATTGAGTGTTCAGTGTACCAGAACGAAAGAATCGCGTGTGCCCTTAGTGATAATTTAAAAAGTGTACTAACGTCAAATTTACAGTCTTTATTAAGTTTTCTTAAAATGACTAAACTATATAGGAGATTGTGAAAAATATTTTTTTTATGTAACAATATGTATCTTACTGTTTGTGTATGTCCCCCCGCTAATAACCCTTAGTGGTTGATGCGGGTATATTTGTTTAAATAAAAAAAAATTTCAACGACAATCAATATCTAAATGCTAATATAATGCCTCTATGTATTTTTATATAAGTTGTACACAATTTATAACAATAATATAACAATAAATCACGATATAAATTTCCATATAGGTTTCGTCATAGGTTAACAGATGGCACTAAGTGCATTAAAATGTATAACTAAATGTTGCCTGAAATCAACACAGGGCATCTTAGAGTCGGAAATTGTTTTAAAAAAGTTTTCTGCATCTAAAACTCCTTTGTTGCCTTGTGTACACACGGGGATAAATTCTTTTCTGACACTGTAACACCAGATTTTCATATTACTTGATTTAAACCATTTATTATTATTTCTTATAGATCACCATCATGATAAAAATATCTACTACAAATTTGAATACGCTGTAGACGATAAAAAAACCCACGACATAAAACATCAAAAAGAAGAAAGAAAGGGCGACAAAGTAGAAGGAGTGTACTCTTTGGTAGAAGACGGAGGAAACGTTAGGACTGTAAAGTATGTAGCAGACTGGAAAAACGGGTTCCGCGCAGAGGTATCAAATTCAAAGAAACCTAGAGTTTATTAGAAGCAATTGTTTGTTTTAAGTTTGTTAAAGTTTAAATTTATTTTTAAATTTTAAGTTCTATATTAGTACACAAAATGTGTACATTTTATTTTAATTTATTTTTTTTAATTGTTTTCTATTTGTTTGTCTACTACTACTACTTGTTGGTTTATAAAGTTCTTCGCCGTTTTCCGACTTGAAATCGTCAATTAGTCCGGTTGTTCTGTTATTTATTCCATCGCTCCAACTTTTTCTCAGTCTACCTCGTTTTCTCTTTTCTTCTGGTTGCTATCTTAATACTTCTTTTGGTACTTATTCGTTGTTTATCAATTATTTGTATGCGTCCGAACCAGATAAGTTATTTTGTTGTTAGGTCATCTGTGACTGTTCGTTTGATTACCATTATTTCTCTAATGCGTTCGTTGGTAATCCATTTCCATCGCTTTTAGCGTTGCCAGTGTTGTTTTTTTCAGTGGCCATACCTCACAACTGTATAAAGTGATACTTTTTACTATAGTCTTATATATCCTCTTTTTATTTTCTTTGCTGATGGATTGGTCCCATAAAATGCTGTTTAACATTGTGATGGCTTTTCTCCCTAACCTATTTTCCTCTCTTATGGCCTTGTCTAATGATCCATCTTGTGAAATAGTGATACCTAGATATTTGTAGTCACAGCAGTGCCTTGTCGTGGTGTTATCGTCTAATACGAAATCTTTTTGTTCTACTGCAATGCACAGGTATTCGGTTTTCTTGTTATTTATTTCTAGACTCCATATATCATATTCTTCAATTAATTTTCGTGCCACATAGTTTAAATCGTCATTATCTTAAGCCAATATTACTTGATCGTTCCTGCTTGTTCTTCTGCTTCATAATCTAAGTATTCTCTCGCGATTCGGTTCTTTAAAACCTTTACATATATTCGACTTATAGATCCGCTTACAGCTATTCCTCGGTAATTTTCACAATTATTTTTATCACTTTTTTTATGTATAGTAATAAGGTATGATATCTTCCATTTCGTAGGAGTACAATTTGTTCGTTTTGTACTTAAAAAATTCTGCGGGTTTATCTCCTGGTCCGGGTGCTTTGTCTTCAGCTGTTTACATACATTTTTAATTTCCTCTGTTGTTAATCTTATTGGCAAGCCGACTATAGAAATTCTATCTTGGTTTTGATTTCTATATTCTTGAAATTCGACTCTATTTTCTACCAAAAGTTCTTTGAAATACTCTTCCCAGTCTTCGGGTTTTATGCTCTGCATTACTTCTTCATTCTTTTCTTTTCCCAATTTTTCTATCAGTTTTCAGCTTTCTGTGCTTTTGGTTCCTTCTAGATGAGTATTTATTCATTGACAGTTCCTTTCCCAAGACTCGTTCTTCTTCTTAGAGATTTTCTTTTGTATTTCTGCTTGTTTTTCTTTATATTTTATTATGTCTTGTAACGATTTTGAGCTTAAATATTGTTGGTATAGTTGTCTTTTACATTTTATTTTTTCCTCTATTTCGTTATCCCACCAGTATGGTTTGTTTACCTTGGATTTTATGTAGTGTCCCATCGCTTTAAATGCTGCTTCGTTTTAACAGTTTTTTATATGTTCATATCACTTCTTATAGGTAGCTTCTCATCCAATCTATTTTTGAATAAGTCTTGGGCACTTTATTCATCTAGGCTTCTGATGTTGTATCTTCGTTCGATTATCTTTTCTGTCTGTATGTTTATGTCTATATGTGTTTCCCTTTGTTGTCTTTGGATTGGGAAGTTTATTTTTGAACGTAATAAATAGTGATCGCTACCGCATGTTGCGCTTCTCTGAACTCTTACATTACTCTCAGTCGGGTTTTTTGTTTTGTTATAATATAATCGATTATTGATTTTATGTTTCGTGTTCCCTAAATCCATGTATAGCTGTGTATCAGTTTATGTGGAAAGTATCCATTTAAGATTCTGAGTTGATTCTGGTTGCATAAATCTATGAATCTTTCACTATTGTTGTTCCTGGCGTCTTTTCCCTATTTTCCTACTATACTGTTAATCATCATCAGTTGACGCTACAGCCCTTCGTGAGCCTTGGCCTGCTTCAAAACATTCTTCCATCCTTCCCTATCGAGTGTCTGCCTTCTCCAGCCCCTCACTCCAATCTCCCTCAGATCTTCCTGTACATCGTCCAGATATCTGAGTTTAGGTCGCCCCCTTCTTCTTCTTTCGACCGGTCTGTTTAGCATAGTTATTTAGTGGGATCACTCTCATCCATCCGCATAACGTGGCCCACCCACCTTAGGCGGTTTATTTTGATGGTCTTCACAATATCTGCATCACCAAAAAGTCTATAGAGTTCAAAGTTACATCGCCTTCTCCACAGACCCTGTTCGTTTACTCCGCCATATATGGTCCTTAATACTTTTCTTTCAAAGACTCGTAGTAACTCTTCATCTCGGGTCGTCATTGCCCATGTTTCCGATCCGTATGTGAGCACTGAGCGTATTATTGTTTTATAAAGTTTGCACTTTGTTGCTATTCTCTATTGACATACTTCTCGCTCTTAGTTGAGGGCCCAAGCCAAAATACCAGCGGTAGCCACGCATATTCTTTTTTTTTTGTCTCTTTGGATGTGTTATTTTTGTAGTCTACCAGTGATCCTAAGTAGCAGAATTCTCCTACCTTTTCTATCGTTTCGTGTTGTACCTCTAAGTTATTTTGTTGAATTCTTGATATGGCCGGCATATATTTAGTTTTCTGGATGTTAATCAAAAGTCCGATGTTTTCTGCGGCATTTTTGATACGTGTGAAAGCCTCCACTGCTTCATTTTGGGTTCTTCCAATTATGATGATATCATCAGCGTATGCCATTACTTGTATACTACGGGTATATATCGTACCTTTTAAGTTTATTCCCGAATCTCTCATAACTTTTTCTAACGCTAGGTTGAACAGCGTGCATGATAGCGCATCTCCCTGGCGCAGTCCTCTGTTGGTTTTAAATGGTTTTGAAACATCTTGTACGCGCACTTTACATTCGACTTTCATCATTGTCGTTTAATTAATTCTACCAAACCTTTTGGTATTCCTAATTCGATCATCGCCGAATATAATTGGGGCCTGTCAATTGTATCGTACGCTGCCTTAAAGTCTACGAAGATGTAATGGCAGTCCATGTCGTACTCCGTCGTTTTTTCCAATATTTGTCTGATGGATGATATGTGATCAATGGTAGATTTGTTTTTCAAGAGACCTCTTTGGTAGGATCCTATTATATTGTCAGTATACCGTGCCAGTCGTTCGTTAAGTATCAGGGACACAATTTTGGATGCTGTCTACTGTTAATATCCCCCATTAATATTATTTTTCGCCATTGACTTATATTTGATATTTCTTCGTGAAGCTGTTTAAAAAATGCGTCTTTTACGATGGCTAGTGCGTCGTTATTTATTGCGTATACACCCATAATTGTTAGTTTATATCCGTAAGACACATATTTACGTTAATTAATTAAAATTTGTTTGTTTGTACATTTATTTAAGTTTTCATCTAAATACTATAAAAAACTATGAAAATATGTGAAAAATGTATAGTGTAAAAATTTCAAAATGTATTAACTTTTGTAGATGGTAGATTTTTGTTATTTACATGTTTAATATATATTATATCGTTAATAAAATGTTATAATCAACTTTGTTCTTATCTTTTTATTTAAAATCCATAATAATTCTTCAACATAATATAGATAATTATTCTTTATAATAATATCGATAATCTCATTATGATTCTATTTGCCTTTATCCATATGCAGGGTCGATTTCCCTGATTATATGTCTCTATAAGTTCCTATCTTATGTTATACAAATATCAATCTCCTTTATCCATATATCGCATTTTCCAGGTCTTACTTATTTTATTCTATTTCTTCTAGGAACCAGTAGATCACTTTGTACTTGGTGCTCTCTCATTATGGGATCAATTGATGCAACCCCTAGACTTCTAGGCCCCGGCTGTTCAAAATATAGTCTTTTATACATCCTTGTCGGACCCCACGTTTGATCTTAATTAGTTAACATGCCTTTGTACGCATAGCCGATGTGTGATTCCAGTAAAGATTGCTAATAGTTCTTAGATCACGGGTGTTTATTCAAATATTTGTTAATATCTCCATCGGCTTGTGTTTGACTGTATCAAATGCTTTATGGTAATCATTGAAGCACGCATAAATATCGCAATTTACATCTTCACATCGTTAACATAGCACTTGTATGCTAAATAGAGCCTCTCTCGTACCCACAGGGTTTCGCAAACGGCTGTGTACGGTTGATTTTTCTTCGCACAGTCCATAATATATCCTTTGATGTATGATTTTTAGAAATAACTTTGAAATGTGGCTCATTATGCTGACGGTCCGGAAATCTTTGCAAGATTAGGATTTTGTTTTCTTTGGTAAAGCAATAAACGTTGACTTCAGCCATGATCTTGATATTACTTCATTTAAATACGTGTCATTGAATATTTTTGTTACTCGTTGAGTATTGTCAGTGTTAAATATCTTTAAGAGTTCAGCATATGTATTGTCAGGTCCAGGAGCTTTGCCATTTTTTTGTTGTGATATTGCTTTTTTCACTTTACCTGATTTACCTGATTGGTGATTGGTCACCATGGTCAGTGGTCATTACATATGTAGGACGGAGGTTGTTCTGACCTATTATCATTAAAGAGTTCTTGTATATATTTGGTCCATATGCATATCTCTTCATTTTTGTCTGTGATAATGTTGCCTTGATGATCTTGCAGTTTGTTAGCTGTGGTGTATTTGTTTGTTTTAGCCTTTTATGCATATTAAATGTATCGTGTTTTTGTTCCAACAACTCTATCTCTTCACACTGTGTTTTTCACCAATTTTCTTTGGCATTTCGTATTTCGGTTCTTATTTGACTGTGAATATTTTTGTACATTGTTTTGTTGTTCTTTGGTTTTCTTCTTTCTTCCATGAGTTGTAGTATAATGTCATTCATCTAAAATTTTCCTTTTTTTCTTTTCTATTAGATGTTCTTCTCTGATCTTGTTTCCCATATATTCTGGAGTAATGTTTCTGGATTATATGTTTGATTTAGGTTACTTAGCTTTTCTCAAAGAATCCGTGAGACTGTCTTTTTGTTTCCTTATTCTTTAGTCTTCTCAAATCATATTTTTTGTTACTATTCTTTTTTGTAACTATTTTAAATTGAAACCTAAATTTACCAATAATAGGAACATGATCTGATCTGATGAGCATAAACAAGCTGAAATGGAATTGGGCAGGACACATAGCGAGACTGAAAGACACAAGATGGACCAGAAAACTAATTGACTGGCGCCCACGAGATGACAAACGCAGCAGAGGACGACCACCAACACGCTGGATGGACGACATTAGACGAATATCCAAGAAATGGCAAAAAGAAGCACAGAACCGTGAAGAGTGGCGAAAAATGGGAGAGACTTATGTCCAACAGTGGACAGAAGAGGTTGCATGATGATGATATGCTATATTCTATATCTTCATTTTGCTGTTGTTTTCCTTTCTCTATTTTCTTTTGTAGTGTATCTATTTGTATTTTTATTTCTTGTATAATTATATTTTTTGGTTTTTTCTGTACCCAGGCGTTGTACACCATCCCCTCATTTTCTTTTCTTTCCTAATTGTCAGTGAAAAGCACTTGATTTTTTTGAGCACGTAATGTCTCACTTGGTGTTGTTGGTTGGGAAAATATATTGTCTTTTCTCTAAGGTCCGAGAGTGCCTGAACTTATCTCAATAGGGTTTTAATTTTGCCATTAAAACTTTCAAACTTTTATCACAATGGGTTTGTAATTACCAGCGTAACGATGGCTTTATTCATTTGCTATCAAAACAAAATTAAAAAGTTGTTCTATGTAAGGTACCCTCGATGCACATGGCGGCCACCCTTTTTCACAAAAAAATCTTTAATCATTTGAAGTTTCTTATCCTGTTTAGTTTCAGCTATAATTTCCTCTCTCATTTATTCTATTATTTTTAATGTATGCACTATTTCTGATACAAAAGCATCATCCTCTACCTTTTCCTTCAAAAAATTTGAACACAACAAATCAGCTATTAGAATATCCTTGCCTGGCTTAGATTTTACAGTTAAGTAATATTTTAATAATTTCACCTTCATACGTTGTAGTCTACTTCTGCAATGCCTTTCTCCATTATCGAAATCATTGGCTTATAATCTGTGAAAACCTTAACTTCTCTACCATAAATATAATTATGCAATTTAGTAAAAGAAAATAGGATTGCATTAAGTTCCTTTTCAAAACCCCCTCTGTGGTTCAGTGGTAAGAGCGCCTACCTTTGAACCTAAAGGTCGTGAGTTCGAATCTCACCTGGGTGGAGAAATTTTCGTTTATTAAAAATTAATGAATGAAAATAATTTCTATCCTTGTGCAATCGGTATTCACCGCAGGGACCGCCGACGTTCGGATACAATTAGCGTCTCTTAGCAAAGACAATGACGTCGACTTTGCTAAGTATCAAGACAATTGCTTTACACACACACACAAACACACACACACACACACTACACTAGGTACCTGAACCTGATTGTAAAAATTCACTGTACCATGCCAATGACCATTAGTTGTCGACGCATTAAACTCAATAAAAAAAATCTGATTTCACAATCGGTTAAAGATCCAGAAACAAACGATACAGGTTTAAGATTATGTAATAATACACATCCAACACCATTTTAACTTGAATCTGCTTGAATTATTATTCCATTATTTTTATTAAAATTTGCAAGAACTGGTGGTGAGCAAATTAACTTTTTTATTAAATTAAATGAGTGTGTGTGTGACTTTTAGTCCACATCTAAACTGTATCCTTTTTAACAATTCTCTTAATGGGGCTGATACATCCGATAAATTTGGTATACAATTGCGATGGTATATGTTTGTAGCATGTTTTAATACTTTATTAAGAATTCTGCCATGTTCTTTAAGACTATCTGCAAATATTAAAACATCATCAAAAAAGATGAGATATCTATCAATATCACCAAAGTTTTGTAAGTTGTTTCTTTAAAAAAATTTAGGAGTAATATTTAATCCGAGTGGAAGTCTATCAAATTTCTATATTCCAAAAGAAGTTTTAAATGCACACACTCTACTGGACCCCTTATTAAGCTGAACTTGATAGAATCGCTCTTTAAAGTTAAAAACAGAAAAATAACATTTGTTTTTTAACTTACTGCATCTCTTTAATAGTAGGTATTAAACAATATTTCTTTTAAGTACTTGATTTAAATCTCTAGTATCCAAACAAATTCATAATCTTTTATCAGGTTTTTCAACTATAACCAAACTGTTCAACTACTCTGTAGGACCATCTTTTTTAGCTATATTGCCACGCTTTTCTAAATCTAACAGTTGATTTTTTAATCTCTCTTTAATGGATAAAGGGGCCCTTCGTGGAGGCTTAGCCACGGGAACAAAATTCTCTTTGAGTTTTAGTTTACATTTTTGAAGACATTTACCTAATCCAGTAAATGCATCAATGTTTAATAAAGTCATCTGTTTTTATATTTAAATCTATGTTTTCTACTCTTTGTATCGACTCCGAATCTAAATATGATTTCAAAACTGAATTGGCAAAAGGTTATCTTTAACTATAAAAAATTTTAGTTGAAATATTTTTCTTTTTTTTCCTCTCTTATCCCTCATTTTGCCCTAATTTATCTTATTCTTTCTATTGATTTTATTCAAAAAGTAGATTGATACAATATTTACTTGTGAACCTGTATCTATTTTAAAGTCTATTCCATATTGCCCAAATACTAACCTTTCAGACGATTCCTTATTTCCTTTTATTTCATTTACCTCAATTGCACCACTTATTGCAGCTTTTACCAAATGCTGGACACCTTCGTAACTCATGAGGATGACCACATTTTCTGCACTGACCACTTTTAATTGAGTTCCTCCTGTTCCCATCTTTTGCATCTTCCAGTATTAAAGTTGTTATTCGAAGCTTTTCCACTTGTTGTTTGATTACCATTTTCTCGTTTTACAGAATGAATACACAGAAGTGTTTGGCTTGAATGAACATCTTTAAACTGTATTTTTGAAATTTCAAATGCTCTACACATGTCTATTGCTTTTTGTAAGGTTAACTCATGACATTTTTTCTTGTAGATCTTTAGTGATTGTTCCTAAAACTAGTCTATTCCTGATGATCAAGTCCAAAACATCTTCAAATTTATAATTTTTTGCCAATTTACGCAAATCAGTTAGTTAAGTATCAAAGAGCTCTCCTTCCTCTCGTTTTTTATTGTAGAATAAAAATCTTTCGTAGATCACATTCTTTTTAGGAGTAAAGTAATTCTCTAATTCACCCAATACTCTATCATACGATTTTCTCTGTGCATCCGTTAACTTTAAGTTGTTAAACACATCAAGTCCTTCATCTTCCAAAAAATTTAACAGTAGAGCAATTTTTACTGTGTCTTCCTTTTAGGCCTTGCCACTGGCCCAGAAGCTAAATTTCAAACGACTATTTGAAATGCCGAAAGTTTTAAGCCACGTTACCTTCAAATGATAATGGTTGACGTATTCTAAACTTCATATTGTTCTAATTCTAACAACTGTTGTTTTCATTTATTTTGGAACGCAGCAGGC